TTTAAATTGTGACCCTCCTGCCTCACCCTCCTGAGTAGCTGGAATTATAGGCATGTGTCAGAATGCCTGGCATCACTGAAATCTTAAAACTTTCACTCTCTGTATCATGTGACTTAGATGATGTCTGAATCACTGTGTTTCTTCCTGTGATCTAGCTCTAGGTCTTCAAATACCAAATATTTACTGAGACCGCTTTGAATCAGGCAATGAATTAGGCCCTGAGATTCACAGTAGATATTTTCTTGCCCTTTAAAAGCTGCTTCTAGGGCTGGGGATGTGGCTCAAGCGGTAGCACGCTCGCCTGGCATGCGTGCGGCCCAGGTTCAATCCTCAGCACCACATACCAACAAAGATGTTGTGTCCGCTGAGAACTAAAAAATAAATATTAAAAATTCTCTCTCTCTCAAAAAATAAAAATAAAAAAAATAAAAGCTGCTTCTAGTGTAGTTGCTCTTTTCTTCTGTTCCTAAAATACAACACCCTGTGATTAGTGATACAGCCCAAGTAGCTCTCAGGTATGTGTAGACAGTCTTCAGAGTCACGTAGGGAAGTTTCCTAGAGAACCAGTTGGAGAATGTAATACTTTGTTATTGCTGCTGTAACAAATTACCACAAATTTAGTGAATTCAAACACAAAAATCTATTACCTTACATTCTGTAGGTCAGAAGCCCACCATGGATCTCACTGGGCTTAAACACAGGCAGGAGAGCTGTGTTGCTTCTGTCGACTCCAGGGGAGAACTTGTTCCTCCTCTTCCTTGTCTTCTTCATCTAGTCCCATCCCGCAGCTCAGGAACTCCATCCCACAACTCAAAAGCCAGCTGTATTGCATTTTCCTAGCAATTCCGCCATATCACATCTCCCTCTGACTTCAGCTGGGAGAAATTCTCCACTTTTAAGGACAGAAGTGATTAAATAGTGCTCACCTACAAAATCCAGGATAATCTTTGGATCTCTGGATCCTTCGCTTAATCCCATCTGCAAAAGCCTTTTCACTTTGTAAATAACACACGCACAGGTTCCAGGGATTGGGAAGTGGGCGCTTCTTCCTTCAGGAGGGCCATTATTCCACCTACCATGTACAGAGGCAGCCCCTAAAGGAAGAGGCTAGAGGTGGGGGTCTGGGGATAGGAGACCCTTCCCACACAGGGGGAAAAGCTTTGGTGAGAGTAGTGTGTGTTCTAGGAACTGCAAGTTTGGTAAGGCCAAAATATAAGTTTGTACTGGACTGAGAGGTTATTTATTCAAAACACATCTATTGAATACTATGTGGCTGGTCCTGTTCTGGGAATTCAGACATGAAAAAGACAAAGTCCTTGTCCTCTGAAACGAGAATGAAAAGCCAGGACAAGTCCTGAAAGGCTTTGAGACTTTTTTCAGGAGTTTCTTGAGTTCCAAGAAACAATGCACTCATTCATGTGACACAATTTTATTGAGAACATGCTATGTGCTGGGCACTGTTATAGGTTCTGTGAATACAGAAGAGTAAAAACTAAAGTTAAAAAAAAAACCTAATCCCTTTATGCTAATTGATTTTAAACAAGGGAAGAAGTTTGTGCTGGAGGAAAAAAAATGGAGAAGGAATAAGACTGTAGTCAAATCCCTTACTAGTCCTTCATCAAGATTTAGTTTTTCCTTAATTATACTTCCCTCTTGGGCATCTCCTCTTTTGTCAGGAGCCATTTTTTTTTTTTGAACCCAGGGGCACTTAACCCCTGAACCACATCCCCCATCCTTTTTATATTTTATTTAGAGTCAGGGTCTTGCTGAGTTGCCTAGGGCCACACTATACTGCTAAGGATGGCCTTGAGCATGTGATCTTCCTACCTCAGTCTCTCTGAGTCACTGGGATTGCAGGCATGTGCCACCACGCCCTGCCCCTTTCCTTATCCCTCCATTGTAGCTATCTTGCAAACCCTGACTCCTACCTAACATGCTACACCAAGCTCCAGGTGTAGAACACACTGAAGAAGAAAACATTCAGAATGAAGCAATGACATACTAGAATATACAATGCTGGCTTTCTTCAGTTCTGCTAATCCCATTCAAAGGAGATACTGCTCTCATTAGTTGACTTTTTTTTTTTTGTGTGTGTGTGTGTGTGCACACGCGCGCATATATATATATATATGTGTGTGTGTGTGTGTGTGTGTGCGCGCGCACACATATATATATATATATATATATATATACACGCACTGGGGACTGAACCCAGAGTCTTGTGTGCTGTGCCACTAAACTATATCCCAGCCCACTCATTCCTTTCTATAGCCGTTTTAGCCTTTAACCACTTTTCTTAAGCCCTCAACCATCTTGAATCCCTCACTCTCAGCAGATTGCTCAAAGACTTATCAAGGAGCAATCAATGTTCTAAACATCTAGTTTCTTTGTTTACCCATCTACAAAGGCATCTGTTTATACCCTTCTTTTCAAAGATACCCCAGGCATCTTCCAATCTTCCATCCATTTTCTCTAGGACATTTTCATTCATCACTTTCTCTCTCTCCCTCTCCTTGGTTTTCTCTTTCAACACATGAACATGTTTACTTCTTATCTTTAAAAGAAACAAACAAACAACCAGAGGCTCAGGAGGCTGAGGCAGGAGGATCATGAATTCAAAGCCAGCCTCAGCAACTTAGAGAGGCCCCTAAATAAAATATATAAAAAAAAGGGTTGGGGATGTAGCTCGGTGGTTAAGTGCCCCTGAGTTCAAATCCCTGCTACAAAGAAAGAAAGAGAGATAAAGAGTCTCCCCCTAATCCTGTATTCCTCTCTATCCACTGTCTTATATTTCTTCACTTTCGTTGCCAAGCTTCTAGAAAGAGTGTGTCTCTCTTACTCTTTAAGTCACTGGAACCTGGTTTAATGGATGAGTCCCACTCCATAGGTACCAGTGACTTTCCTGCCATTCCTAAGGGCATCTTCCGGCCCTGTCCTCCTAGATGTCCCTGCTGTCCTGTGCTAACCTTTCACTCTCTCCTGACAAGCTTTTCCATCTGATCTTCTTCTGACACTCTGGTCTCCAGTTTTTCTCCTACCCTCTTCAGTTATTTCTTCTAGATTTCTTTTGTAGGCCTCTTCCTTCCTCCATACGCCAGTTTTTATATAATATAGTCCCATTTCACTGACCGCCCGTAACCTAGAGCCCAATATTGATATCACTTTCCACACCTTTATTTTTATTGTCATAAGTCCCTGGTCTGCTAGACATTGCTAACTAGGCACTTGACAGACACTTCGAACACAAGCTGTTCAAAATTCAACTCATGATTGCTTTCCCAACACTTAGGCCCCATCTTATGGTCCCTAATCTAGGGAATGGTACCTCCTGCCATCAGTTCCTAGGCATGAAGAGGGGGGTGATTCAAGATTCCTCCCCCTCCCTCATTCCCTACATTCAATACACTGTTAAATATCATTGATTTGACATCCTGTGTCTTTTATCTGTCTGTTCCTTTTCATCTCTCTGTCACAGTTCCGATTCCCTGATCTTGCAGTATAAATATAGCCATGGTCTCTTTGTTGAGCTCCTAGTCTGTATTCCTGGCCAACATTCCTGGTCAGAAGCAAATGGCACACTCCAATTTGAGGGGGAATCTGGGGGGGAGTTAAAAAAAATAATGAGGGTTGGGGGTGTAACTCAGTGGTAGAATACTCCCCTGGCATGTGAGAGGTTCTGGGTTCACCCCATGCTCTGTAGGAAGAAGGAAGGGAGGGAGGGACAGGGGGAAAGAAAGACAATTTATAAAACGTGGGCAGGGGGCTCGGGTTGTGGCTTGGGGCTGGGGTGGTGGCTCAGTGGTAGAGTGCTCACCTAGCATGCACAAGGTACCAGGTTCAATCCTCAGCACCACATAAATGTAAAATAAAGACATTGTGTCCATCTAAAGCTTAAGAGTAAATATTTTTTTTTTTTAAAGTGAGCAGTATATAGGAAAGCCCCAAGGAATAACACATAATACACTGGGCCAGTAGCCAAGCAACGTTTCCATATCCAATCCTGAAAAGTCAAAGGAAGGGAGTGAAAAGGGGTGAGACGGCCATATGATGGGGGCTATCATCTTTGGCTGAAGTGACCCCAGAAACAGAGATCCTGAAGAATAAATGTCCAGACCTCCCTGACCTTTCCCCATCCAGCCTCTTTCACTCACGGCTGTGCCTATTGGCCAGCCCCCACCAGGAAGACAGAGGACAGAAGGATCTGCAGGGACAAAGGGAAGGCATGTGGTGCATCTTCCAAATCCTCCTCTCTGCTATGGCCAGGAGGGTTTTTTTCTGGTTACATCACTTGTTACATCATTTGTCTACAGCCAGATTCTCTGTCATCTACAAAATCTGAACTTTAGCTAGGCACAGTGGAGCATGACCATAATTCCAGAGATTCAGGAGGCTGAAGGCAGGAGGTTCACAAGTTCAAACCAAGACTCGGCAATTTAGCAATGCTCGATGCAATCTATCAAGCCCCTGTCGCTAAACTCTCAAAAGAAAAGATCTAGACTTATGTATCTCTACAGCTGTGTGACCTTGAGTAGTTCACCTCACCCTTTAACATCAATAATAACTCCAGGTTTTCTTTCTTTCTTTCTTTTTTCTTTTGGGGGTTTCTCTTCCTATTGCCTTATCCAGGACTGCCTGCATTTAATTCCTTTGCATTCCGTCCCCAGATTTCATGAGAACAAATATCAAATAATACCAAAAAGTCCTTCAGAAACAGGAACTCACCTTTTATATTGCTTTATCCTACCTTATGTAGGACTTCCTCTAATTATTCAAATTCTCTTCCCTATAGATAGTGAAATAAATGGAGACTTATAAAACTCTCAGGGAAAAAGAAACCTCAGGAAAATGACCCATTGCAATCTCCCTAACAGAATCCCCCTGCCTGCTGAAAGTCAGCCCACCAAAAGTAACTGACCAACTCCTCCCATGACCTGGCCCTGCTAAACCCTATAAAACTCAGATCCTTGTTTGTAGCCCATGGCCATTTCCCCCTTGATATGTAACCCTCGTTGTTAAAAAAGCATCGCTGATCTGATGAGGTCTTTCTTTCTTTCTTTCTTTCTTTTTTTTTTTTTTGTATTCTCTTTCATTTGCTTTTAAGATAGTTATCCACTTTTGGGGATATAGACTCTCATCCCAGGCTAGAACTCTTATGATTTTAGGATGACCTTTAACAATTGTCTCTTGGAGAATCCTGTTTGGGTTTGTTGCAATGTTTCATATTAATGAGAAAACTTTTAAATGCCCCCACATCTTTTAAAAAAGACTTTTCTGGGGAAAATAAAGTTTTAACAAAAACCCTCTAGTGAACCCAAAGACAGACTGCAATGGTAGTAGCATCTTGACAAAGAGGAAGCTTGGCAGCTGTTTCCATGGGAGCCTTGGCTGGGGAGCTGTGGGCATCTGAGGGAGGCTGATGGCTTGAGACCTCGGACACCTGATGGGACGCAGAGGAGGGAGGCTGAGAACCAGCTGTTGGTCTTCCTAATAAGACAAGAAAGAAGGAAGGAAGGCAGAGGAGAGAACAATAAAAGGTACTTGGAGACTAGAGAGCAGTTATCATCCCAACCAAACGCAGGAGGAGCAAGCCTATTATGGGGTCGAGCCTTTAGGAAAATGCTCTGGAGACCACCGCTCAAAGAAAAGTACCCAGGGTCAAAATTTAGGACACATTTTATGCAAGTTTTCTCCCCTGCCCTAGTTGAGTTAGAGGGTCTCCTGCCTTTCCTCCGCCCTCAGCTTGGAAAACCCACTTGGGCGAATGGAAAAAGGAATGAGGTTGTTTAAAGTGGGGAGACAGCTCCCTGCACCTGCACCTCCACCCACAAGGTAAGGGGTTCTCTCGGGAATCGCTAGCAAATTTATGGGGGAAATTCCTCAAATCGACAACTGAACCTCCACACTGTGGCACTTCCAGCCCCATGATTGATCTGGCTGGCTTTCGTCTCACCCAAAGCCAACGGGTTCCAGCAGGAAAAAGTAACGACCATCTGCAAAAACCCTCATCCAAGCGAGAAGTGGAAATCTGCGCTCTCGGGTTTTCAGAGCCCAACTTGACGCCAGCGCGTTTCTCTTCCCCCACGCACTGGCACGGAGGGCGGGAGGAGAGGGAGGGAGCAGGGGGCGGCCGGGGTTCCCGCCGCCGCCCCGCCCTCCAGCTCGCGGCGATTCGGCGCTGCGGCTGGAGCTGGCGGCCGGCGGCTGCCTGTCCAGGCAGGGTCTGGCCGATCCTCGCGTCGCCGTGCAGTGCGCCGGCTGTCCGGGAGATGGCTTCTCCCCTCTCGCCCGCTGCTCCGGCTTTTGTCTCGCCCGGGGTTGCCTGACTGCCAGCTCGCGCACGCTCTTGGCCGAGATCACTCCCCGCTCCAGGTTGGTCCTTGCGCCCTTCGCTGCCGGGGACCCCAGAGCCGGCGCGAGGCGGGAGAGGGGAGCCGAACGGGAAGAGGCGGCGTGCGGCCGGCCACCCCACATCGCGCTGGTGCAAAGGACGCCCGGAGCTGCAGAGCGAGCTGGGGAGGCGCCGAGCCCCGGCAGCCCGCGTCGCCAAGCCCAGGACCCGTCGGGTGTTGCAGCAAAGCCGGCAGCGAGCACAGGTACGATCGCATCCAACGGGAGCACCGCTCCGGGGTCTGCAGAGCGCCCCTCGAGCCAAGGCAGCTGAGGTCAAGGAGCTCCCCTCCAACATGGCAACAGCCGAGGTGCAACAATGGGAGCGCCGAGGCTGCCCGGCGGCCGGCTGCGCCGGGGACGCCCTGCAGCCCCAGCTCCCCCGCGGCGCCTCGCAGGTTGCTCACCCCAAACCCACCGCGCGCCTGCGGCTTTGCGGCCTCGCGGCCCAGGTCCCCGGCCCACCCCTGCTCTCTGAAGACACTTCCTGGCTCCTGGCTGCAGGGCGATCCGAACCAGCCAATGGTTTGGGGGTTGGTTGGTTTGTTTGTTTAAGATGAGAAAAGAAAAACCTGTCCCGGAGTGGGGGCGATGCGGCTTGTGCCTTTCCATACGGTGGGTGAAAAGTCAGATTCTAGCCTGGGCACTGTATACATTTTTTAACCCGGCGAAGAGAATTGCCTTCTCCCTTATAAGGATATTGCAGCAAAGGAGACAGAAAGCTTGGAATAGGGAAAGGGACCCTCAGGCCTGAGTTCCCGGCCCTCTGGGAAAGCACTGCTCTCCTGGCCTGTACTTGTCTCTCTCGATCCTCCTCAGCTTCCGACAGAGGTTGCTTTGATGTTGGGGTGCAATCACAGCAGGAAGCCCAGGCAAGGCTGCCAAGCAGGGGTGGGGTGGGGTGGGGTGGGGAGCCCAGGGGCTTGGCAGGATCCTGAGTTGTGAAAAAAAGGTTACCAAATATATGAGGTTAGTTAGTGCACACACCCTAGTTGGCTGAGGTTGGAGTGGTGTGTGTGTGTGTGTGTGTGTGTGTGTGTGTGTGTATATATATATATACCAGAGGAATCAGTCATGCCACTTACTCCTTCAAGCCAACCTCTACCTCAATCTCCATCTCCATCTTTTGAGGTCTTTGTGGCTTCCCTGCCCCAGTCCCAGTCAAGCTTGGGATGAAATCTCCATTGTCCTGATGATATTTTTCGTCAACCTGGGTGGGGAGTTATGCCAGCTGGTCTAGCACAACACCAGAGATTCTTCAGCACACAGTTATTCCTGCTCCCAGAAGTGGGCCCACACTGCCCCTCCTTTCTCTAAACTACCTGACTGTCTGGGGCACAGCCAAGCAGATGTAAGCAATTTGCACTGAATTCCAACCCAGAATCAGTCTTGAATGAAAACTTACTTTATGGCTGCACTAGGCCTTAGAAAGATATTAGGAAGAAAAATGGCCCAGAGGGTGACAACCCTGACCCCAGAATACTCTCCCTCTCCCCAGCTACAGCTGTGGATCCTGGGGCAGTGAGCCTTTAGAATCTCAGCTCCTCCAGAGCCTGGCAGTCCCATCTGGGGTTGTGTCCATGGAAAAATTAAGTCGAGGCACATTTTATAGCTCTTCCTGGCAGCCAGCGCCTCAGGAGACAGTGGCTCTGAGCCGGAGCCCTGGACCCAGGCTGTGGCTGCTTCTCCTTTGGCTTTTGGGTGAGCTTAAGGTTTGATTTCCATGGCTCTGAGCTTACTGCTGAGTGTGCATGGGTGTGTATGTCTGAATCCCATGAAGCTCTCGGGTCTGGCAGGAAAGCCACTTGTCCATTTTCCTCTCCACTAGAAGCATGAGTGAGGAAGGGAGATGTGTTGGGATCAGTTTATCTAAGGCCCTAAGCATTTTGGGGGTGCTTCTTTGGGCTTTCCCAGTCGTCTGAAATGCCTGTGGTCATTGCCTTGACTTAGTTGCACTTTAATAAAGTTGTGCTCCAAACCTTCCTGAGCCTTTGGTCCCCTCTGGGGTATCCCCACCCCAGATAGGCCTGTGTTTGTAGGTATTTCAGGTCTATGGGCTTTCAGCCTTGAAGGCTTGCCTGTGCCAGCAGGGAGAGAACTGAGGGAGGGTCTCTGTTCCTTTTGGAGAACAGAATATGAATTTGGATATCATAGTGTGGATGTGGAATAGTAGAGAAAACAGTGTTAGGAAGCCCAGTTTTGAGTCTTGGTGTGACTGACTTTATAGTTGTGTGAGCATCGGCAATTTGTGAACCTTAGATTTAGTTTGCAATATTTATAAAATGGGGGTACCTAGGCTCCTGGGATTGTTTTAAGGATAAAATACACTGCTTACCATGAACCAAATGAAAGTATGTGTGCAAACTCTTTGACTATATTGTTATATTGTGTATTCTGTATAACTATGTACACATCAGTATATACAACTATAATGCACCAATAAAAAATGTGGGGGAAAAGTTGGCGATGTAGCTCGGTTGGTAGAGTGTTTGCTTTGCATGCACAAGGCCATGGGTTCAAGCCCCAGCACTCCCCCACCCTGCCAAAAAAAAAAACCACTCTGAAAACTGCAGAGTCCTGTATAATAAGTGTCTGTTACTCATCCTGGGTCTAGCATTCATTATAAGGGAGGAAGAGCAGTCATGGGTGTGGATGGGGTGGGATGAGGAGAATATGGAGTAGGGAATGTTCCAGAACCTTTCCTTTTTGGTTAAAGGAAGAGTGATATGACAATATGAAGGCATTATACCTTGGACATTTCTCTTTAAATAGAGATAGGATGGGAACTAGGTGGGGGGGAAAGCTGCTTAATGTTAATAGGGAACTGGGTAGAGACAAATACCTTCCAAAGGCTGCTACTTCCTATGGACAGGGTAATGCTGAGCTGGCAAATAATATGACAACTAACACTGATGTCAGCCAACTAGGAAATGACAGAGGTGAGATTTGATGCAGGCAATCTCACTGCATAACACTGTGCTTGTAGCCTCAATGCCACTAGCAGAGATATTGGGTCTTAGAATGGACAGAGGCAGCAGAGATGCGGAATTCATTTGTAGTGGACTCCTTGAATGTCCCTAAGATGCCACCAGCCTGGGACCTACCTTAGATAATATACTTCTCCAGGATAGGGGATTGGGAGGATGATTTTTCTCTACCCAGCTCCTGCCCAGCTGAGTACCTTTTTAATTCCTGATTGTTTGGGGTCAAGGCACATGTATGAGAATCCTTACCTGCTGCCCCACCACCACCACCTTTTTTTTTTGTTTCCATCCTCACCTTTCCTGGGAGAAGACTTGGGATAATCAGATCAAATAATTTTGCTGCCTGGTGTGACTGACTTCAGAGCTGTGTGGACAACTCTGGTAGGAGGTTTGAGATGGCCCTGGGAAAATTAAGGTAGGGTTCTTATTTTGGTAGTTTCATATCTGCTTCATTTTGTCTCTGTTCTATACAATGGAATTTTAGGGATGATTCTTGCAGTTCCTGTTGATATAAAGCATTAAAACTGGAAAAGACCTTGAAGATTCATATTTCAAAGGAGCCAAAGATCTTGTACCTTTTTGGAAGCCACTATCCTTCCACCTTAATTCTGTCACCCCTGCACCATACCTTCCTTGGAACCTTGCGTTTACCTCCTTTCTTCCTGGGCCTTCCTTTCCATTTTCTTCCCCAGAGCTGGGGATGGAACCCAGGGCCCCCTGTATGCTAGGCAAGCACCCTACCACTGAGCTACAACCCCAGCCCCAGCCTCCTCTGTGAACACTAGCCCACCGTAAGCAACCAAGGACTGCGAGTTGTTCTCCCCACAGATTTCTCCAGGGCATTGGCTTGTTTTCTTTTTGACAGTTCTTCTTGCTATGCTTTGCACCTCTATCTATGGTCTCTGTGCTGAGGCAAGGGGAGCCATCTCCTCCTCTCCCTGCAACCTGCCCACTGTGGGGGTGGGTGTCAGAATTGAGAGCCGCTGCCCACATGTGGTTCTTCTCCATACCCCATACCTGCTAAGCCAGGCCCACCAGGAACAAGCTTGAGTGGAAGCCTTCTCTCCAGCCAAGCTGTCTGTCTGCCTGTCTCTCTCTGATTACATGGTATCCTCTGCAACACACCAGAAGGCATAAGGGTGAGGGAAAAGAAATAGAGGGCCACGAATTAACATTTGAAACACTAGTTGGCCTTGCCAGGTAGAAGCTCCTGTTTGCAGGAGCTCTTCTTGTCGCTTCACAAACTCATCTAGAGCCCAGATAATGTAATGTTGGAGTCCCCAACTTTTGACATCTTCCAAGAGCCCTACTCTCTGAAGGCAGAGCATCTGTCACATTCCTGACTTGCTATGCTGTGTGTCTTCCAGACTGGAAAGGAAGTCGGAGTGCCAAGAGAGTAGATTTAATCCTGACCAAGAAAGGAGAGATTGCCTGCAAATTAGAAGACAATATGTTCCCAAGAACATTGTAGCCAGGGATGTCAGATTTCCACTGTAGATCCTAAGAAGGCAGGTTTTAAATAAAGAGACAATATTAGATACCCCATGAATGTACATGATTATGATTTATCAATTACAAAATATATATGTGTGTGTGTGTGTGTGTGTGTGTGTGTGTGTGTGTGTGTTTTCTGCAGATTGAACCCAGGGGGTTTTAACCACTGAGCCACATCACAGCCCCTTTTTTATATTTTATTTTGAGACAGGATCTCCCTAAGTTGCTGAGGCTAGCTTTGAACTTGTGATCCTCCTGCCTCAGCCTCCTGATCCACCAGGTTTATAGGCGTGTACCACTGCGCCTGGCTACAAATAATATTAATAAGCCAAGAGGGGTGGTTCAAAACTATCATCTCAGCTGCTTGGAAGACTGAAGCAGAAAGATCAGAAGTTGGAGGCCAGCCCCAGCAACTTAGCCAGACTGTGTCTCAAAGTAAAAAGGGTTCCGTGGTAAAGTGCTCCTGAGTACAGTCCCCAGGTTCCTCAACAATAATAATATGATTAAAAAATTGAATAATGAGGGGCTGGGGCTGTAGCTCAGTGGTAGAGCTCTTGTCTCACATGTATGAGGCCCTGGGTTCGATCTTCAGCACCACATAAAATAAAAATAAAGATATTGTGTC